TCTCCTTAGAGTATCGCTCTGCTTCTTCAGCTCTAATAATTTGAATCCATCAACAAAGTTGAAATGGTAAATTAGCCACCTTTACGCTTTAAAAAGCTGACCTTTGGAGCGTCAGCCCTTCGTCGGAGCGAATAGAGGAATTATGGGTTTTGTGTGCTTTTAAAGGCAGAAAATGGAGCTACGTTATTGGTGGGAACATGGCAACGAGAAAAACAAGAATAAATTAGTGGAATGAAAAGCGTTCGTTGATACCTGTGGGATTTAGACTGCCGGTTTGAAAGATGAGCTTTTGTTCAAGATTTTTACGGCTTTCCGTGCTACCTAAGTGTAAGGAAAGACCGCAGATTGCCATATGTTGCTTAGAATGATTAGGTAAATTAAAATGTCTAGCGACTGATTTCGATGTGTCCTTGTCATTCTCTCCACGTCGCGAAGGTGTTCTTCAGCTCTATGTCAGAACCAATCGTTTTTGAGCTCTCTAATGAGCCTTCTCAAACCATGCCTGTCCATATTCTTATCTTGGAGGAGTTTTTGAATTGCATCATCCTGATCATCGAACCTGTCGTTATGCTATCTATTCTTTTAAGCAAGGACATGGGCAAAAGCGTTCTGAAGAACAACTCTGAGCTCGTCAACGTCAGTGTTACAGGTGGACAGCTTCTCATCTAGAAACTGTTCTAGCAATACTTTCTTAACGTCATCTAAGCGTGCGTCTAGCTTTTTGGAAGGTTTTGTATGCTGCGCATGCCTTCAGCAGCTTTACCACGCGTTGCCCTCAGATGGACCCCTGATGGTCGTAGGAAGAGAGGCAGGCCGAAAGAAAGATGGAGGAGGACAGTGGAGAAAGAGATGAAGGAAAACAGCTGGACATGGGGTCACCTGGAACGACAAGCACCCGACAGAAGCCAATGGTGCTTTTTGGCCGAGGCCTTATGTGTTTAACAACACGAAGAGGATTAAGTAAGTAAGTATGGTGTCTAAAAATTCCAGCTGGCAGGAGGCAAACCAGTTGGTTAGCTAAATACAAAGTGCTACCAATAGCTGAACTTGGGGCAAACGACAAAAAAACCAGCAATTTGCAAAGTAGAGCGGTTGAACCCAAGACCAAAAGAGATTGTAATCGCAGCACCCCGAACACTCGGCCACAGTGCCTCAAGCATCGGCCTCCGTTCCACCAGTCCACAGATCCACTGAAGAATAAAAAGACCATTCGCTCCTACGTACCGTTGACTCTGCGACTGATCCTTCCTTTTATTCTTATTAGCTAATAGAGCAGTTCTCGTTTAAATCAGTGGTGATTAAATTACTTAGTTTGTTATCATTATCATACCGTAGATATGAGTTCATATCATATGCATCAAATTATTAAAATCTGTCTTAAGAAAGTTTCGCTTTCTTGATTACAATTTCCAAAATCGGTATTAAATGTTTCATGTTATAAGAGAGTTTACAGTTTTGATTCATCCTGGACAGCCTCTTCTTCTGGTGGTAAAAAGGCATTCGATGTTTTGACACTGAGACTCGGGGGCGATCGGCTGCTCTTTCTATTGGCGATCCTTGTAAATGCTGTACTGATCTTGATTCTCAGGGAAATGTACAGCCATGCGTTGATGGCGCTGTTGGCGTGACCGAACCAAAAACACAAAAACATCACATTCGGCTGAAGAGTTACCTCAACATTCCATGCTTGCATGACAATTATCACGTGGACCACCTGTGCTGGGAGCCAGCAAAGGGCAAAGGCACAGGTAACAACGATGAGCATCTTAACTACTCTCCTCTTTGAGGTTTCAAGTTGCTCTCGGTTTCCTGCAAAATGTTCCCCTCCAGGTGCAACATGGAACCATAACCTCCGTGCGGTAATAGTATAAAGGACAGAAATAACACTCAAAGGGGTCAGATAGTTGACCACTACTAGGAAGAGGAATATTCCTCGCAGAGCCCTATACGGATCGCCCAAATCGTAAACAGATAGCATGCATTGGGAATTGTGGTTTTCCACGGTTTGAACAACAGGGAAAATGGACATAGAGGCCAGGGACAACATCCAATAACAAATGCCTTCACTAACCAGTTCTCAATGGCGTTTGAGGTACTGAACATGCTGTCACCGTGGGAATTTCACACGCACGTAAATGCAAACTGCGCGCGATAAGACAGTAAAAGATAACGAACTCTGTTTCGAGCAACTTTTAAAAGAAAGTTTGAGTTGAGAAGTTGTTGTACTGGATTTCGTCATTAGGTTATGTTCAAAATGATATGCGATGTAAAAAATTATCATCAACTTGAGAAAAAAACAAGCTGGAAACCGGCTTTACATGCGGAAACTCAAGATTACTTCAAAATGGACGCTTTGCAGTTTCTCAAATTTTCTGCAGGCAGAGTGTTAATGCAGGTGCTCCGTACTTTAAAAGACATTTGCATACGTAATTAACCTGCTGGTCTCAGGAACAGGAAGGCAAAAAAAGACAAATTTGCCTCCAATGGAATGCTTAATTGTAATGCAAGAAAATGTAGGAAATCTGAGGAATTTGGGAAACTAGTGTTCTATGTCTGTCATTTTATTTCTTCGCGAATTTGTCGTTTTGTTTTAAATAATCAGGAGCAGCTGTGGGTCAAGCACAGACCTTAAGTAGAATCTGAATGGAGAAAAAATAATGCACTGTGCAAATAGAACGCAGTTACATCTAGTAATTGAAAACGATAATTTAACTGAAAGGCGTCTTGTAACACAAGCCTGGGCTTGTCATTTAGGTTTCCATTAATGGTTGATCGTTATGACGCACAGAAAGTGTAGACAAATGCCTTACATAATGTTGTTAGCATAGTTGTACCAATGGATGAAAACGTAATATTCCCACACATCTTTGATGTGTAATAAATGAAAGACTGAAAAACTTTTAAGACCATTTTTCTCAACAAAGATTAACCGTTGTTTGGTAAAACTGTCATTTATTATTCCGCCTAAACGTTATCTGAGAACTCCAGTTAGAGTTTGCGAAATAAAAAGTGCTCGTAAATTTTGTTCATGGGAGAACGATGAAAGGAAAATATCAGTTTTACCTACATTGAATGAACTACTCGACGACTAGAAATTAAAACAGGACCGTCTTCGGGATCCTGGCACAACTCAGCCTATCAAAACAACCTTTCAGGTTGCGGGAAACTTGGTATGGCGTCAACATTTCACTTCACCGTGTTTTCTTAGCATACACAAGCATAAGAAAACACACTACGCATTTCAGATCACTTTAATGTCAAAATCGCTTTATGGAACCGCCGCCTTTTCAATTTAATTTTCATCTAATGACTTCCTCTCTTAGTTTTATTGCACGCAAATAATTCCCCTGTATCATTTCACAGATCTGTGACAATAAAATGATTATACGGTTTTAAGCTCAAATGAAATTGACAACTGTAAAAGGTTCGCCTATCTGCGCTTACGAGATGAATGTCTTAAGAAGTTAAGGAAACAAAACGAAAAACAAAATTAAATACAGCTTTAAATACCTCTTACTTTGTTGAGGGCCATATAGACACCTTATGAACCAAGCGGGAGGGCCATACTAGGAGAATAGTGGCCCGAGGTCTTGACAGTACAAACCAAGTGCAGCGAGGTCTGTCCAGAAAAGTCCAAGGGCCAATATTCTCCCAGCAAGACAGAAAAGACTCTTACAGATAGATCCAAGCCAAGTTTATTGTTTCTCTTCCCGTGGAACTCGTAGGGGTATATCTTTGTAACAAGCTAATTATACCTCTGTTTATATGTATTAGATATATGCCACGTGTGGATAATCACAACACTCATTGCTTTTCACATGCTTCTCCTCACTCGAGTGAACCTCAATTAAATAGTTTTAATATGTATTGTAGAAATGGATCGGTAATAAGCGAGCCGCAATGAAGCGAAAAGCCGCTCCCTCTCAAGAAGTAGAGGAGGAGCAGAACCAAAAAGTGAAACTACCTTGTTCTCGGCGTGGGACGACTTCGTTCAATGAGTTCTGTAGCGAATATGATCTTCAGGTGGATCAAAAACAACATTTCCAACACCACTGTTGCTTTCAAACCCGCCAGAGTAAACTGTAGGCCGTAGAACCGTACTCCCAGAAGCAGAGAGCGTAATTTTTTTCGATGAATTAAAGTTTTTCGAATGCAAGTTTGTTTTAAAATACAGGTGTTTACAATGAATCTTCCTTCGCTTTCGACCCGACATCTTGAAGAATGTGCTAGGTAAATTGCGGGGCAATTTGATTGGCTAGTTTTAGCCAATAGCAGCGATCTTTGCTGTGGAGCAGTGCATGCAGTAATTTCTAATGGACCGAGCCCGTAGTTCTAAAGTTTAGAAGTACGGGTTTAGCCCATTTAGAAAACGCGCAGCAGATGTAAAAGTAGGTGTCTTATCGAGCTTTTCATGTAGATCTGATTGCTTTCCTTAAATCGATATTATCGAATCCAACCGACGACACTCCTATGCCCTGTTTTACTCATTAATCTTTAATCCGAACGGCTGTTTTTTCGAAAATGTCATTTTTAACTGACCAGAAGACATATTGTAAATTTTTTAACCTAAGATGGCCCGCGAGGGTTATTTTACAATTTTGATTCAGGAAGTCTAAATGTTACGCCTCAAAATGTAATCATGGCCGCAAAATGTAATACCGACGCAAAATGTAACAATATTCGCTGCAAAATGTAATACAAACGCAAAATGTAATAAGATCGACGCAAAATGTAACAAATCACTCAACGCAAAATGTAATAAATTTTTAACGCGAAGTATATCAACTTCCCTAACGCATTGTGTAATGACCTGTATTCTCTTTACTTCATTGTGTTACCCATCGTAGATTACGTAAATCAAATAAAAGGAATTTAAGGTTTCCTGGTAAACTCTAAAGGCAGGGTTCTCTCACTTGTGAATTAATACCGAAGTATCTTTCTATTAGGTTACTTTGGAGATTCTTTTAACGATTAGAAGCTATTTCGGCTTGACTATTTCAGGAGAATGTTAGGCAAATTTTGCTCTGCTCACATCGTTTTCGTGATACATATATTGTTTAAACATAAAAATATACATTGTCACTTTTTAAGAAGCCGAATAGTAATTCTTTAAGTGTGAACGTGCCCAATAGTGAGAATTGTTTTCAGGCAAGCAGAAAAACTCCAGAAACTAGTAAAAGTAATCAAGCAAATGAACACAGGCCAAAACAGTGAAAACCTACCAAACGTTTCCTCATCATTCACATGGTTGTATTTGAACCCTGACATCCATGCAATCCAGTCAGTTATGAGACAAACGTTACGTTTGTATCCTTATATGCGTCTGCCCTCGAGGGATATTTTTAAATGAGAACCCCCCTTCATTGATGAACTAATTATGTTGGTGCGAGAGAGAAATATAAGTTGTATGGACTTATTTAACTATTTAGGAGTGAATAATAAGAACAATTAATATGTGTCAAAGAGGGAAGGTTGTTATTGTGCTTTCACTTAGTTAGATTTTATTGTTTGTACAAGAGTGTTCGTTTAATTTCTAAGTTAACTTAGAACTGCGTAGTGATCCATAATGACTTCGTTTAAGAAATAAGCGAACTCGCTATTAATCGAAGAAGCTAGGTTGGTTAGTCTTTACTTTATTACAAGTTATCCCTGGAAAGAAAACAACAAGACCTTCCATCTTCATCGAGAATCTGCTTGAATACACATGACTTTTGCATTACGCCGTAGACCTTTGATCTAGTATTTCAATTTCACCTAACTATTTGTATTACATTTTGGGTTTTCGATTATCCGTGAAAGAAGTTATTAAATATTGCGTTATTACATTACGCGTTAGTAATGAAAGTTATTACATTTCGCGTTCAAAAGTTATTACATTCTGCGTTGAGTAATTTATTACATTTTGCGTTGAAGTTATCATATTTTGCACTAGTATTACATTTTG